AGAGAGAGAGAGAGAGAGAGAGAGAGAGAGAGAGAGAGACATGTTGAATGGCAAAATTGAAATATAAGTCAAATTGCGGCCGCGGTCTATTTCACAGTTGAAATTTTTTTATTTATTTTTTTTAGCGTTTTTCCTCGAAATATTACAACAAAATCTACGAGTACTTCAATTTTCAAGTTTTTTCACGCATTCTTCTAAACGAGCAAACTCATTAAAATTCGGAGTACCTTTTTAGTTGGCCCACACATGGCTAAGTGGCAAAAATGGAAAATGTGTCGAATTAGCGTGACGAGTATTTTGCAGTCTAAATGATTTTTTGAAAATATTCTAATATTATTACTGGAAAGAACAAGACCTTGTCTATGGATTCTCAAAATTTCATATTTTCCTGCGGGGTTGTCCGAGCACAAAAAATCTTCAAAGTTGCCTCTTGCAAAATGTATGTTTCGTTGTACCTGACCTCCTTATTTTGAGAAGACGGGCCTCAAAGCCCGGGCCTTAGGGCCCTTTTGCAGTTCACATGCCCTCACTTTTTTTTTTTTCCGCTTCTACCTGAGGACCGGTCCAACGCCCCCCACTTTTTTGGGGGTCCACTTCCACCCGAGGACCGGTCCTTCCTTTTTCCAAAAGTCCCGGTTTTACCAGAGCTAGTTGTAGGTAGTTCGCAATTTTGGTAAGGACCGCTCCCCCAATTTATTTTGCCCCCTAAGAACCCACTTTGCGTCCTGACCGCCCGCCGCCAAAAAATATGACACCTTGATACAAACGCGGAAGCCCACTATACCTCAGTCTTAGGGCTGCGAATTGCATTATTTTCGGTCCGTAGCCTCAACCTTTTTATATTTATCCTTATTTGATTGACTTGTCGATAAAGTCATACATAAAATGAGAACCGTTGGTCTCAATGGATTCAGAGTTATTTAAGGTGGTGGCAGAAAGAGAAAATGAAAGTTTGCAATCATCAAGTCTTTGAGGCAACCGTCGTAAGTGAGAGTTAGAGATAAATTTGATGAAAATGAGTCTTGGTTTGTGCGATCTGAATCCGTGCAGATATGGTTGTAAGTCTTAAGTAAGTGTACGAGTACCAAAATATGTCTTTGTATTTAGTAACATTTAAATTACCTTTTATGAATTGAGTATAGTTTGATTTTGTTTCTGTCTAGGTAGCTCATTTGGTTAGAGAAAAGAATTGAAAATCCTTCTTTATTAGTGGTTCAAATCCATTTATAAACAAGCAATATCAATCTATTAAGAAACTCAACTTGGTTAATTTGCCGAGTAAGTAAGATAAGGACGGATTCGAACAATGACACAATTAGAAATCTGGTTGTTTAAGTACTCACTGCCTTAAGGGTACAAAGAGTTGCAAGTTTCCATTACCTCCGATCACGATCGCCACGCAGTGATGGTCACAGATGGTGGGATAACGACAAAAGTACGCAATATAAAATCCAATCAACAACTTAATTTTGCGACTATATAACAACAACAATAAAATAATTGATAAACTAATTGGTGCAGAAAACACATACACAAATAATTATATATATATTTTATATATTTTATGTATTTTATGTTAAACAATACAATGTTTTACGATTTTTTTTTAAGATGTCAAAATTGTAAAAAAAACTTGAAATATGTACCTTGTTCTCAGCATATTAATTTTGAGACACGATGGTTAAGATAAAAATAAATAAGATTTTTTATAAAAATGGCAACAATACTATATATAATTTGATATAAATATTTTTTATATTTTTTACATTAAAATTTTTATCGACATTTATCATGTCGATATCTAGGCTACATGTCGGTCCGTCCGGGTTCCGGCTGGCCAGCACGGCAAGGACCAGGAAAGGTCCCGACAAAAAAAACAAAAAAAATCCACAAAAACTCTATGTTATGCAGAAAAATAAACTGAGCAACTTTTGCCTCAGGGTCACATCGAAATTATTCATCAAATTTAAAAAAACAAGCCTCCTGATGAGTCGGTGAAACTCCGACGAAACAGTTTGTCACAGCCCCTCGTTTGTTGTCCTCTTCTCCC